AGGAGCAAGTAATCGCTCTTAGAGAATAATAATGAGTGAAGTGGTAGGGTGGTGTGCTTTAGAGAGATAGAGATGCCCTTATTTGATGTAAGCATGCGTGACGTGGTAGCCTGTGGCATCTTAACTCTTAAGAATTCAACATTCCTAATTATCACACAATAATGGAAATAGTGTTAAGTGTTGTCTTGTACAAGATAAGTTGGAATTACATAAAGGCAGCTTATAGAAGAAGACTTGAGGGGATCTCTCTATATATATTCACTACTGCTTGGCTATACTTGCACATCACTACAAGCTAATAACCAGATTAAGCCATATTGTTTCTTCTTCTTGATCCTTTCTAAACACCATGCAGAAGCCACGTGGAATAGGTAAAGATTGCAGGCGGGCACCTGCTCCATACACTGAGGAACAACTCAAAGGCATGTTTTGGCGATTTGACAAGAACGGGGACCGCCGCCTCAGCAAGCAAGAGCTCAAGACCGCCTTCAAAGAACTGGGTGCTCTTATCCCTGGCTTTAGAGCAAATAGAGGTCTCCACCATGCTGATGCTAATGGAGACGGATACATAAGTGATGAAGAAGTCGATAAGCTCGTCAAATATGCTTATCAGTTGGGTTATAAAGTTAATTAAATCCCGCGAAGGCACTCTTAATTAATTATATAAATATCTACATAATTACTTTCTTTCTTGCTGCTCTGTTTTCAGGGTTCTAGTACGTAGTCTTAACAAGCTGTAGTTTTCCGTCTAATGTCAGAGGAGAAAATCATGTCCTGTAGCAAGTCTCCCGACATTAGAGGCCAAAGCAAGTTGTAGTACTTGCATATGTATAAATTGATCTTATAAATAAAATAATGTATTTTGCTTTTAGAATCAATCTCTTTATCAAAGTTCACTTCTCTGATCACTTATTAACATACAAAATTAACTAACTGAATTCCAATAGATTAAATAGTATTGAGTCAGCAATCACTATGCATTATTCACAACTTGAAATAGTTCACAGACAGCTTTGAATCCCCGCTATTGTGTTGATGTGTAATGGCTTTAAATTTCTTATAATCTGCCCGTTACAATGACCGAGGATTTAAGATTCGAAATTTCATGTCTCACCGTGTAAAGTATAACCACATGCACCTCTAGCTACTACTTTTTTTTATATATTTTAAGACATGATTTGTTTTGATAAGAATTTAGTCCTTTGCTCTATTCACAAAATTAATTATAGTTTGTTGTAATATACGTATAATTAGGTAATTTTTTCCTGGAAATAAAAGTCAGATCATCACTAACTTGCAATTTGATGTGCCCCGTTAATTAAGGGTAGACAAATATATGCTTCATAAATTTTGCAAACATTCTTATGCCATGTCAAGTTAAAATTTTGAAACAGATGGAATTTCTTGGACTGGCTACTTACCTTCACCAAAAACTAACTTCATTGAGTAAAAATATGCAGCCTAAATTGTTTGTATTCTAATTCAAATATAAAAAGTAATATATATAGTATTAATCAAACTGTTATATTTTTGTGTCATTTACGAATTACGACGTATCTTTAGGATCTAAAAATAAATATGCAAAGTTAGATGTAAGATACATGCATGCATAATAGGTTCACAATAAATAAAAGCTTTCAGTCCTCTCTCCTGGACTTACGTACTTTTAAACAAAATGGGGGGAAAAAAATTAAACCTCTCTCGCTATTCTCATCCTTTCATGATAACCATGAAGAATAAAAACCAAACTTGATTGTCCAGGACCAAAAAAGTTGCCCATGTATCAGGCCTTTACTCAATATCCACATAAGAAAGAAAAAAAACAGGCTGAGTTGATTTTTTTGTACATACTTTAATCGGTTGGAAATTTGATTCATGGGTTCGTCCCCTTTTATTCCTTCAATCATTTCTGGACAGTTGAATGAGAACATAACTGACAGAAGAAAAGGAAGATATGACTTTAATTTGGCACCTATATAACTCTTGTATTTTTTATTTTTCATATGATAAATACAGACTTTACCATGTAGTAACCACCACTAGGTGCTCTGATGGTAAAAGAGAAAGATAATCAAATATGATCTCACGAGTTCAAGTCCTTACGATTGCTAATAGAAGCAACCACTAAATATCTTGCTTAAAGGTGTGTATAAGTTGGCCCGGACTTAGTTATAGGGAAAAAAAAAAAAAAAAAATTCTCATGTGGTTCCATTTCATTCAATGATAACAAATTCTTAAGAGTTTTAGCAGTCTTAATAAGGAAGCAAGCAATTAATAGAATTTCAATCATGAATTTAGAACATACCACGGTATCAAGATTTCAGAAAAAAAAAAAAAAAAAGAAAAAAGAAAAAAGAAAAAGAAAAATGAAGATGCTAGATTAATGAAATGATTCTATCTCTTCCATTAATAAACCACCTGTATCAAAGTAAATTACATGTATAACAAATGTATTCTTGTCTGCTTCTGGGAAATGTTTAATTATTGAGCAGAGGGAATATTTGAAATAGATTTTTTGACGGAGCAACAACAGAACAGCCTCTATATTATAAAATTCTTGAAAACACGTCAAGATATTTATATATGCAAAGCATCTTCGGTTCCATTGGAAAAGATAAAGGCCGGTAGGGCTGGTCGGCCGATCTCTACGAGCTCCAAACTTGATGAATATTTTGACCGGGCTTGTGTACTTGACAAGTGTAAAATAAGCTAGTGTATTGTGTGCCGATTCAGAAGATATGCCCAAATTATATACAATCATGAATTCCTTTTTATCTGTTTTTTAAGCAAATAAATACTACTCCAAGGTATATCTTTCGTTCAAATACTTAATTAATTATACCATATTAGTTTTGCTTTTACTTTAGATCTACCAAATCAGTGATTTGGTTCCAGGTAATTACATAAATCGTAATAATTATTGTTCTCAAGAATAATATTAGATATCATATAGAGAGATCTGTGTGATAGATATCCCTATTTTTTTATACCCAAAGCTTTATGAGATACCTAGCTCTTGAAAGGTAGTTAAGAAATTAATTAATATGATAATATGTAGAGAACACTTAGATAGTAAATAACTGGTAAACTAAAGGTATTAATTGAATGAAAGAGACATTTTGAGGCTTAATTATTTTTAATTATGAGATGAGTAGATCATAAACAACATAAAAGGAGATGGGAATGTGCTTCCACTAGTTGATTCTATATATGGTGGCACACTTTGTGGACCAAGTTTTAGAAAGGAGAAGATGCTGCCAACAGGAATCTCCCCGCCCTTTCAGGACTCAATTCAATTCTGGAGGCTGGAGCCATTGCCTTTCTAATTAAAATGTATGTTGAATGTTGGGGCACATGAGCGTTTGTTAATTAGAGGAAGAAAAAAAAAAAAAAATGTTATTCAGTCATAAAAGAATTAATCCGCTAAAATTCTTAAAAAACTACCAAAAAAAAAAAACAAGACAAGAATTTTGTAAATTAATGTGATAGTGAGAAAATTATTGAATGAACATCAACTAAGCTATATAAAACTTTTTCACCCCAACACGGGCACATGGTAAATTCTGCGTGGTCATGCAGCCAATATGATACCATATTCTTATTATACCTTTTGATTTCGAAACAATTATTTATGGTAGTTCAACATTGATCATGATTTACCAATATTAATGCAGTGATACTAATTTGATATGATAAACCGATATGATAATTTGTATGGTTGTCAAGTAATCTTTTTTAATTATTTAATTTAGTTTTAACTGAAAGTAACTCAACCAATTTAAAACACATCAGTTTATATAAAGGAGTTCATATATAAAATATTATCCTGATTAATTTGGTCACTTTTAAACAGTAACAATTTGCAACCATCACACAAAACATCGATAAAATGATTTGGCGAACCAAACTTATCTTTATTCCACGAGATTCTCTTATGACCAAGAATAATATAAAAGTTTAACTAGAACCTCAGCTTTTTCGAGAGGATAATATCCAATTGTTGCGCCATTGCCATTGCCATTGCCATTGTCCGTCCTTAGTAGCTACCTGCATCTTGGCTGGGTGGGGGTACAAAGGCAATGTAAAATTATTAATAATTAATAAAGTAATAGGATATTTATATGCCACGTATACACAACTTATGTCTGTCACCTATATTTGTTCTTTGGCTAAATGCAGTAGAGGCCACAAGTAAAACTTGGGCTTAAATTAGCAATTAAACATAGTCTAAAATTCTTTCACAAGCAAAATTCCTTTTTTTTTTTTTAATCTAATCATATGCTATAACAATAAGTGGTTCAATTAATGTAACAGCGAGTAAATTCTCTGGACACACAACTAACCTTAAGGTTCCATTAAATTTTCTAATGCAAACCACTAATTGCGGGCCAACAACTAGCTAACATCAACGAGCTAAAAGTAACGTAACCAAGGTTGCTTAATTAGCTAGCCATTAGTTTACATAAAAATTTCTACATGAATTTTGTTACAATAGAATACTATGTATCAATACATCAACATAAAGTTTGTAAATTTATAATAAAAAACTTGTAAACAAAAAGTATAGAACTTGTATCATGAAATTATATGTACGTTGTATAATAGCCAAAGCTCTCTAAACATAATCACATGATCATACAGTTTTGGGGTCTTGCAGTTGCAGCAAAATTTTCATCAACCTGTACTAGAGCTACCTACCTTAAACATTAGTAGTGAAAGCATTTAGTCTCTTTTTGGATTAGAGCCTAGAGGTGAAAAATAATAAAAGGAAATGATTCCCGTGCCACCAATAATAAGGAGAACCTTTATGGTTAATCTGGAAAAAAATGAAAAGGATAAGGACTCAATATTTCATTAACATCTATGACCCTCTCCCCATCTCTCTACATATAAATGTTAACCTCTCAGTACATTTTGTTAGGAAGCACACAGCTACCAGACTCTTATATATCTATACTTCCCGCTTTTAGCATCAACTAATTAAACTCAAAAACATCCCTATGAACACAAAGGGCATAGCCAAAAGCTGCAGGAGGAGCTTGGATGAAGATCAGTTGCATGGTATGTTTAAGAGGTTTGATAAAGATAATAACGGCATCCTTACCAGGCAAGAACTTAATGAGGCCTTTAGCAAGCTTGGTTCAAAGTTCCCTGCTTGGCGAACTTGGCGAGCTCTACGCCATGCGGATGCCAACGGAGATGGATGCATAAGCGAGAAGGAGATCAACGAGCTGGTCAAGTATGCTTTGAAACGTGGTTATAAAGTATAAACTCAAATAGACACATTAGATCTTAACCTTTTGTAATCACGCGAACTAGTTTGGTAACTGGGGTCTATTTGATTACCCTATTAGGAGGGAGGGAGGAATTTTACGGTCTTTGAACTCCTCTTTTGTTTTTAGCTTTTTAGGTGGGTTTATTTCTAGTATGTTTTGTAACCTATTTAGTATCAGTAAGACCTTGTGATATAGAAACTCAGAGAACGTGAGAGCCTGTTTTCCGAATATAAGGTATAAAGCTGTAAATCAAAAGTATGTAGCAGTTGAATCTCTTAATCTCGTAATTAACTAAAAACCGTCTCTTGCGGTTTTTTTTATCTGGTTCCATGAGAGAAAGATATTCTTCTATTTCTCTTCCATAAGAAAAGGAAAAAGTTTTGGTGTTTTAATTCACTAGGTATTATGAACTCTGACTGGACTAAGATTTTTTTATAAAATATTAAATTTCGTACATTCGGCTTAAGCTCTCAGAGGGAATAGTCTTGGTTAATCTCTTGCATGTAGTAATCTAAGAGACCTAGCACAAAAGCTATCTTAACTGCAGAGCAGTTGAAAGGACTGTTTAGGCGGTTTGACACCGATGGAGATCGCCGTCTTAGCAAATAAGAGCTTAATAAGGCCTTCAACAGCCTTGATTCATGTTTCCCAGCTTGGCGGACGTTGCGAGCGCTTTGTCATGTAGATGAAAATGGACATGGATACATTAATGAGGAGGAATCCGACTACGTTGCCAAGTATGTTGTAAAACGAGGTTATGCCATCAATTAGAACTTAATAATGTTTTTTTAATTTAACCGATAGTAATTAGTATGTAAAAAAATAAATTAAACCTCTTTGACTATTCTCATCAATTTTTTTTTTTTTTTTTTTTTTTTTTTTTTTTTTTTTTTTTTTTTTTTTTTTTTTTTTTTTTTTTTTTTTGGTAATTGGGGTTATTCTCATCTTCTCATGATAACCATGAAAAATAAAAACCAAACATGATTGTCCAGGACCAAAAAGGTTGCCCAGTTGTCAGGCCTTTACTCAATATCCACATAAAAAAGAAAGAGTTGAGTTTGGTTGGAAATGAGAGGGACAAAAATAAAATCTAAGACTATAAAAGACGAACGTTTATTAGATGAAGAAAGAACGATTTTATTTCAACATAAACTTCATATAATTTCCACATTACATACAACGTTAATTCCCTTATTTATAAGTAAATAAAGGGATTAAATTACATAACCGAAACAAATAATCTCATATAACTAAACATCAGTTTCTTTCAGTTTAACGGTTGCAATTTCATTAACCGAAACGAACTGTTGTCTGAACTTATCCCATAGCATGACGCACACCGCGGTGAGGATTTCTACTGCCATGGCTAACTCTTGTCACCACAGCATTAGTTCTCTGCTGTGAATTTAGAGAACATCTTCACACTCGCCGCAACATCCTTTTCCACCGCTGCAATAATCGTCTCTTCAACCAAAATGAGTTCACCTTTTAATAAATGTTTTGTCTATACTTTAATTGGTTGGAAATTTGATTCCATGGCTTCCTCTCCTTTTATCGCTTCTGTTATGCCTAAAAAATCAGGATTGACGTAGGCTCACATCAGCAAGAACCAATCAGAGTTCAAGAAGGTCTTGTGCCGTCCAGGCGCTGTCACGTCGTCCAAGGATAGAAAGAGTAAGGCTTTCATCTACTTGGCAGGTAAAGGCCTGGCGAGTGAGTGGCTCGGAGTCACCCACTTGCCAAGGCTCCATGCAATTTAAGTATATCTTCCGTGCAACTGGCCAATGAGGAGTAGGGTTGGAACTGCACGACACCTACCCGCTAACAGACCCATAATTATTACCAAAAACCTCTTACTAGAAATAGATAGTTCCCCTCTATTTTTCAAGATTCTAGTCCTGATAAACAAAAAAAAAAAAAAAAAAAAAAAAACACTCTTTCTCCCTCTTTGTATTTCTGCTCTCTTAGATCGCTGCATGCGACTTGATTGTACTTTTTCATAAATAAACAGATAGTGGACGTAGGATTCACTTTGAGCATCCAAACCACTTTAAAAATTGTCTCCCTTTTATTTGATTCATTTTTCAGTTCACGTGTAATTTCTAAGTCCGCTTAGCACTTTACACGTGTGAATAGTTGGTGTTTAAATCTAGCATCAACAATTTAGCACTAGAAGGAGAGCTTGATTTAGTATCCGCTCTTCATTAGGAATCTTTAATTAATCGAATCTGTTCGCTAACAAGTGGCCCATGGTTTCGAAACCGAGCGAACTAGGCCCAACAACGAGGAAGTCCCCTGGGTATAGGATGACTCTTCTCCCGAAGTGCCCTTGATTCAGCATAGTACCGCGGCAGACATTCCTTCGAGCTCACAACTCGACCCAGTTGTAATGGATTACTTGGAGAGGCTCAAAAGTACTCTTCAAACAACTAACCGAAGGTTAGATCGTTTGGATCTAGTCGTACCACCTGAGTCCGACAAGGAGGTGCTACTACCAAAAATGCTGTAGGTCACACTAAAGCGCTAAAACGGGCAAAGGCCCATGCCACGCGCACTAAAACATAAAAAGGCAAGGGAAAATAGGTGCTAGATAGTAGGCCGAAGGGCTCTAAGGGACCAGCAAATACCGATCGTAAAACAGGTAGAATACCTATGGCTTTGCGACTTGACGACATGTTGCATCATGAACCGTCCCACACCATATCGCATGGGTACCCCTACAAGAGTGCAAGGCAGGGAAACCCCCAGCAACAGCGGGTCAGTTCTGACCACCGCAGAGGTCGAGCTAACTCCCCGAACCTTTTATTGCCTTCACACAGCTCTAGTTAACGTGTTTCAAGATATGCCGGAGCCTCCGATCGAGGTGAGGAAGAGTCCGACCTGTGGTCTTTACTCAACCGTAATTGTGAGAGTCGAACCCATGTTGCAGAAATTGATCCCCAGGTAGCTGCCCTACCTCAGATTGAGAGTTACAGTGAGCTTAGGATCAGCTTAGAACTCAGTAAAATGAGCTTAGACATCCTCAACCAACTTTAGCAAGTAAGTAAAAATTAGTCAACCAACTTTAGCAAGACATCCTCTAAACTACATCTTTTACTTAAATAGTCATAAGAAATGTTATATCAGTTTGTATATGTAACACTATTTTTAGGCTAATAAGTTTATCTTAAAACCGAAACTGTCGTATTCGATTAACATAAATGCATATAATTAACAAACAACTTAGAAAACATAATTGTTTCCCTACTAAAGCCAACAAGAATATATAAATTTGAGATTAATAGAGATAGTGAAAGATGAGTGTGAGCAAAACAATCAAAAGCAGCCAAGCACAAAATGGTTCACTCAAAATAATTGGATGCATTCAAGAATTACAAAAGGGAGGGTAATAGGGACATGCTATAAAACTCGAACCTAAAATCATGTAATACATTATGACAACAAATTCCACAAACTTGCTATAAAACTCGAACACATTGTCACTAAATTTCAATAATCAAACTAAACTAAAACCCTCAATAAAAAACATTCAATAAAACAACTTAAACATAAAAATAATGAAAACCTATCTGATTGAGTAACAGAAGCAATTACCAAACACAAAATCACAATGCCAACAACTCACACAAAAACAATAGCTTAAAACATACCCAAAGGGAAGCACTTTTTTAAACTTTACATCTCAAACAAAAATTAAAATTTTTCATTAAACTTTTGTCAAAAGCCAAATAGACTCCGGAAATTAAATTAACCCACAATATTTAAACAATAAAAAAAAAAAAAATGAAAACCCCCTCACGTAAACAGCCAGAATAGCTCAAAACTTCGACGTTTCAACATCTCTTCATCCCAAACAAAATATTCAATTTCTTCCACTCCAGAACCCCAAAAAATTCAGAACTTCAAAAATCAAAAACCATCTCAGAAACGAAACACGACCCACTTAACAAAAACAAAATGTAACAACTAGAACGGCAACAAAATCGAAAATTCACAGAAACAAAGAAAGATCAACATACACAAGCAAAAGAAGAAAAAGAGAAGAACCTGGTGAATGAAAACCCAAGAATTGATTTTGATTGCGGATTGGATTTCGATGTGGATTTGAAGAGGAAGATAGGACAAGAGAAGATGGAGATCCAAAAGAGTAAAAAAGAACGAACCCTAAAACCAGTAGATACAACAGCGATTGTACTTATGGGAGGTTAGGGACTGCCTCGTATTGGATGAATGAAGGAAGCCAAGAAGATCAATTGAAATATGAAGATGCGTGGAGAAGAGATGAAGTTAGGTTTTGCATTTCGGAAATTCAGACAACAGCGATTAAGACGAAGATGCGTGGGGAAAAGATATGAAATTTGGGTTGTGCGTTTGGGAAATTTGGGGAAAAAGCTAGGGCAAAGATGCGTGGAGAAGAGATATGAAATTGACAAAAATGCTTGCTTTATATAGGTTAGGTATTCTGTAAATAACTTAAAAAATTAAGGGTTCTAATTAGTAATTTAATTTTGAAATGTAATTCTATTTTGCAAATAAGTCAATTTGTAACTAAAAATTTAGTCAATAAAGAATTAGTGTTAGTTGCCTATAATTAAGGTTGGCGGGAACAAATAATTTGGGGGGAATATGAATTTTTTAACTTAAATTGGCAACTAAATCAAATTTAGTTGCTGTATATACTTTGAGGCCCTTGTAATTATTGTCCAAATATGAGATATTTTGGTAATTTCATTTTTCTATAACTAATCATAATAGTTACTAATAAATCCCTAATTATTCGCAACTAATTTAGCTACTAAGGGGTAGTTGCAAAAAATTATTTTTTGTAACTAAAAATGTAGATGCAAAATATAATATGTTAGATGCAAATTATCAAATTTTGGAGGGAAAAATCACCCAGAAAAAATTGCAACTAAATTTATTAGTCACTAAAGCAACCGGTTATGTGACTAACAAAACTATTGTAAAAAATTAACTTTAGATGCCAAATGTTAGAACATGTGGACCCCAAAATTTTAATCCTCTTTGCTCGACTAATGTCAATTTAATTGGTAAATGTAACCTTTTTGCAACTAATTCTGGCTAGTTGCTAAAAAATTGGTTGCAAAATGTCAATTTTCTCGTAGTGCTTAGGTGAAATGTGGTAGCAAGAAAAATCATTAGACATGAGCAAGGCAGTTGATTAACACTTTTTGGTCCAAATAGATAAGAACCATTCGCTTGGTCTTCCAGCAAATTAAATTTATATGATGCCATATTCTGCTTATCTTTTGCTTCGAATCTTCAAAATCATGGTGGTTCCACATGATATGTTTTGGGAGAGCATATAATTATTCCAAGGGATTGCAAAATCTACCAAAATCACCATAATTAATTTTAATGCCCACTTCACTTGTCCTCAATACTCAATAGGTGAATCTGAGGGAGCCACTTTCATCAACTTGTTGAAGGCTCAATACAATTATTGTCACGATTCCATCTCTTATACTTTAGACTGCATCCATCAAAAAAAAAAAAAAAAAAGGCTCAGATGATTCTCTTGCGACTAAGAAAAAAATGAATTTTTGGATATTTTAGACTGGAGAAAGAAACAAAAGATAAAACATATGCAATATATATATAGCTAGTTAGAATTACACTTGCACGCACACAACTGAACTCTAAAAACATCTCAATGTTTCGTCCAAAGGGAGTAGCTAACAGATGCCTTAGGACAAAAGTCAACTTAACTGAACAGCAGTTGAAAGGTCTGTTTTGGCAGTTTGACACCGATGGAGATCCGCATCTTAGCAAACAAGAGCTTAATAAGGCCTTCAACAACCTTGGTTCAAGTTTCCCAGCTTGGCGGACATGGCGAGCGCTTTGTCATGCAGATGAAAATGGAGATGGATACATTAATGAGGAGGAATTCGACTACCTTGTCAAGTATGTTGTAAAACGTGGTTATGCCATCAATTAGAGCTTAATAATGTTTTTTTAATTTAACCTATAATAATTAGTATGTACGTGGGTCTATTAGAAGGGAGGAATTGTATTTGTGTGGTCTTAATTTGTACTTTTTCGTTCAAAGATGCACTTAGCAGTTGGATATATATGTAGAATAATCTTTTGAATATACTTTTTCTTTTCTTTATCTGGTTTTATCATGACCAAAAATATTGATTAATTCCTATGTTTCTCTGATCCATGAAAAAAAAAAAAAAAAACAGTTGTTATAGTGTTTAATTCATTTCGATTTAGTGACTACGTCTATGAATTCTCTATGGATTTAAATAAAAAAACTCCTTTTGACTCACGAACTATAATACACTCAAGTCCCACATTCACTAAGAAAATTATATTCGAATACATGGCTTTAGTATTAATTTCACAATATCTTTAGAGGATTGTAGCAAGTTCGATTTAATTTCGATAGAAATTAAATTAACTACCAAAAAAAAAATCATTTTTTTGGGTGAAACATACTCATTTCCGCATTGGTTATCCCGGGATTGTTCAATCACCCATCTTTCCCTCGATTTCGCCATCGCTCAAAGGGGATTCTATTCGCCCATATTTTCACCAATCTAAGGATTGTATGCTAATCTACAACAGTAATTCGCATAGATCCGTAGGCAGTTTGGGTCTATCCCATAAAGAGCCGTTATAGGATTTCTCTAAGCAATATAACTACTAATAAATTTGGGCTTAGGAAAAAGGATCCTAAAGGATCCTAGTAGTATTAAGTTTTTCTCATTAAATTCATATTATTCTCTTGTATGAGTGATATAACAAATCATAGGCAAATACATTCATTATAACGAGGGAGGCGAGGAGATATTCCAATAATATGGACTTTGCTGGACGTAGTTTCTTTTTTGGATGAACTAGGGTAAATCGCGCGTGTGTTTTCTTTTTACTGTTTATATTGTTTGTTTGTGATTGTTTTACTTGTTTAGTTTCGATTACTCACTAGATTGTTTCAACTTTAATTTCACTTGGAGTTGATGTCACAATTTGGTTGGGATAATCTACATGCAAATTAGTCTTTACTATTTGTACGTATTTGTCTAGAAACAGGGTGTTAACCATAATTAAACATAGATTATTAATACATATAAGACCAAGAGGAAATTGCATCTGACTACGATTCGCTTATATATTTCTTGAGCATATAATTATAATATAAATCATTTAAATTGGGTAAACTCAAAATCTTTGAACTTTATCATGTGATAAGATGGTGTAAAACAAGAATCTAGCTACTTTTATTTTATATTAGCTCTGTATCCTAGCTCGTTTTTAAAGAATTTTGTTATTTCTAATATTACAGTTTTATAGCTTCTATCTAACAAATTAAGTGTCACGTCATGCCGCTGGGCTAAAACTTCCTCAGAATCTCATAGATTAATGTTTGGTCCTGATATTCCTCTATGAATGGAGTGCATTTCTTATCTTACTTTTGAAGGGAACCCGAATTCAAATGATTCTGTTAGAAACAAATGTTACCATAGATAATGCTTTTACCAAAAGAAAAAGAAATGGTCCTCCAGCATTCGTCAGATTCTTATTCAAATTTTCTTGGAAATGATCTTTACCCATATGACTCGTCAAAAGAAGAGGGAGATCAAACTCATAGCTCTGCCTGGTTGGGTGAATTAAAGCAAAGAATCATTGTGTAAAAAACACGAAACATCGTCTTTACATCCGAAGAGTTCTAGATAGGTGTGAAATTGAAAGAAAAGAAAGATAAAACTTGATTCTAGCTGAATGATTCTTTGTATTTGATTAACTAACTTGTTACAAAACATTGGCTGCTTTTATACTTGAATGAAAGAAGTAAAGTAAGAGTGAAAAGAGTAAAGTTGCAGCAGCTAACAAACACTGAGTAATCGTCTGAGAAGAAGACTTTTACAAATAAAGTAAAACGACACCGTTTATGAAACTTTAGTCAGGTCCTCTCATTTTGAGAACTTGCAGTTAGCACCATGAATCTTTGGTCAACACTTCCCCTCACGCTAAGCTGCTTCTCTTTTCCATTATATCTTTAACATTTCCCCACAAACTAAACTGATTTTACTTTCCATCAGTAAAGAAATTGACTCCTCTTACTGCTCTTAAGTTGCTACTCTTCTCCATTATATCTTCAACATTTCCCTGCAAACTAAACTGATTCTACTTTCTATCAGTAAAGAAATTGACTTCTCTTACCGCCCTTCTCCAAAAAAAAAAAAAAAAAAAAAAAATTCTCCAAAACTACTTCATTACTTCTGGTCTGCTGCATTATTTTTCTGCACCACCAAAACTGCATAAAATCTGCATTAACAACACCATAACAACTGATCCGCTGCATTACTTCTGTATAACCAAAACTGCATAAAATCTGCATTAACAACACCATAACAACTAATCTACTACATTACTTCTACATCATCAAAACTGCATAAAAATCTGCATTAATAACACCATAACAACCGATCTGCTGCATTACTTCTACATCACCACATCAAAACTGCATAAAAAATCTACATAAAATCTGCATTAACAACACCATAACAACTGATTTGTTGTACAACTGCATTGATTTTGACCAAACATAACAACTAATCTGTTGTTCAACTTCGAATTATGACTACTAATCTGCTATTCAGCTGTGGTGTTAACAGATTTGATAATGCTTAACCTCTACAGTCATTTCTAAATCAGCAAAAGGCATGGCAAGAACATTCAATTTCTATCTCAGTTCTTGAAATTGAGTTATTGATAGAGCCTTCGTTAGCACATCTGCTATTTGTAGCTGAGATAGTACATACTGAATTGCAATCTTCTTTGTAAGAACTTGATCCCTGATGTAGTGAACATCAATTTTAATGTGTTTGGTCCGTGCATGGAATATAGGATTTGCGACAAGAGCACCCGCACCCACATTGTCACACTAAATAATAGGAGGAGTTTCCAGGTTCAATCCTAACTCTGAAAACATGCTCTGCAGCCATGCAATTTCAGTGGCTGTGTTAGCTAATGCCCTATACTCAGCTTCGGTTGATGAAAGAGCAACCATCTTATGTTTTCTTGAGCTCCATTGAATTAGATTAGGACCAAAGAACACACAATACCCACTTGTAGACCTTCGGTCATCCAAACTACTACCCCAATCTGCATCAACATAACATTCAATACTAAGAGATGCTGCTGGCCTGAACTATAGTCCATAGTATTGAGTGCCTTTTATATACCTTAAAACCCTTTTGCAAGCTTGCCACTGGAGCTCAGTAGGAGCTTGAAGGTACTGACTTAGTTTGTTTACTACAAAGCTTATATCGGGCCTAGTAAGGGTAAGGTATTGAAGAGCTCCTATGGTGCTCTTATAAAGACTAGGGTCCTTGAACAAAGGGCTATCTGTAGAATAAAGTTTTGTACCAACAGCCATTGGGGTAGAACATGCATGAGAATCCAACATTTGTGTCTTCACAAGTAAATCAACAATATACTTAGTCTTTTTCAGGTGAATACCAGTAGGTGTTCTTATAGCTTCTAACCCCAAGAAGTATTTGATAGAACTAAGTGTCTTTAAAGCAAATTGATCATTCAATTCTTGAACAAGCTGATGTATGGATGAAGAGTTGGATCCAGTAATCAAAATATCACCCACATATATAAGAATATATGTAACATGATCATAATTTTTGCAAATGAACAAACTAGAATCAGAAATAGAATTATGAAATCCTTTGGCAATAAGTGCAAACTTCAACTTGTCAAACCAGGCTCTAGGGGCCTGTTTCAGACCATAAAGAGCCTTGTTTAATTTGCAAACATAAGAGAGAACAGCTGAGTTTTCAAATCCATCAGGTTGATGCATGTAGACAACCTCATTCAAAGTACCATTAAGAAATGCATTATTCACATCCACTTGTTGGATGTCCCAACCATTAGTTACAGCAAGAGTGAGAATGATCCTAATGGTGGAAGGTTTAACTACAGGACTAAATGTTTCAAAGTAGTCTAACCCAAGTGTTTGTTGAAAATCTTTAGCAACCAATCTAGCTTTGTATTTTTGCAAAGAACCATCAGCATGAAACGTGGTCTTAAACACCCATTTATTCCCAACTACATGCATATCATTAGTTCTTGGTACCAAAATCAAGGTGTTGTTTTTCATTAGGGCATCAAATTCTATTTGCATAGCTTCTTTCCACTCAGCAGTAACGAATGCCTCTTTCACAGAATAGAGTTCAGGAAGGACAAGTGTGTTGCCAGATAAAATAAGTGCAGTTTTTCTTGAATGGTTAAGGGTAACTGAAGAGTTGGTTTTGGACCTTGTTAACATGGGATGTGTGTTTATATTTGGAGGATGATCAGTTGATGTAGTGAGAAACTGTGAGGGTGCCAAGTCAACTACAAGTGGGCAGTGAGTAAGATCTTGAGCAAAGGATGACTGAGAAGTAACAGGAGGATTAAGAGGTGGATAAGAGTTTAGATCTATTTCAAGTGTATGGTTTGAGGTTTTGGAATCAGGTTGCTTATAGTAAGGAGGTATTAGTTCAAGTGAGGGATTTTGAGGATTAAACACTAGATTTGATGAACCAGGTACTGAGTTTAAAGGATTTGGAGAGGAATCAGTAGGTGAATTAGATATGTTTTCATAAGCAAGAGCAGACTTATAGGATGGTAATGGTGAGATAGAATTTGATACTCCAGTTGTTGAAGGAGGACTAACTTGAGAGCTCAGTTCTGCTGGAGAGACTTTTTTGCTGAACACAAGAGATGGTTGAACTTTAGAATAGGGAAAGTTAGTGTGTGACTCATTGAAATATGATTCTCTAGGAGCTGAAGTATTAGGCTGACCAAAACCAGATTTAAAAGGAAACTCTATTTCATGAAATTTAACATTAGGAGTAATGTAAATTTTTCCTTCGGCACTTAGACATTTATAACCTTTGTGAATTAGGTTGTATCCTACAAACACACACTTTGAAG